CATTTTTTAGTTCATACCATCGATAAGCGCACTCCGTAGGAATTATACGTTTCAATATTGCACTCAATCAGAATGTTGTGTTATGTTATATCTCGTTTGTGTTGTTTACGTGTTGTTTATCTTATGTATACTATACGGTTAATTTACATGAATTTTACATGTTGTTTATCTTACGTATATATATAGTATATCTATACACAATATGTATTGTTTTTTGAAGTGCACAAAGTTATTGATTGAACTTTGTAAATGTCATGTAAAGTTGAAATATGTTTGTTGACATCTGAGTTAGCCGACAGGAGACCGGATGGACAATTCTAAAAGCCAGACTGGGAACCCGGTCGAATGTGCAAGTGTCGAGCGGATTTCGAGAATAAAGTAATTGCCGCTGCCGCATAATGCCACCCCCGAGGTCGGCACCCAACCCTCTCATAAGACGATGCCGACCTCGCCAGGTGCCGGCCTGAAGGGAGGATCTTGAAGACCGTAGGAAGACAAAATGCTCAGTGAAGCCCGCAGACCGATTGGGCATGCCGGTGCAGATGACGAAAGAGGAAAAGCGTAGTTTCCGATTTTGTGCACGACGCCAAAAAGGAGTGTAGTAAACATATACACAAATTATATGTTAGTTATACATAATCTATAATGTGTTTTTTTTTTTAGAGTACGCAAAGTTGTTGGTTGAATTGTAAATGTCATGTAAAGTAGACATATCTTATTTATCTTATGTATAACTGTATAACTACATTCGATTTAGATTTCGCAATCATTCAAAATTGTGTATTATATTTTATCCCGTTTTAGTGTTGTTTATATGTTGTTTATCTTATGTGTGTGTGTATATATATATATATATACACACACGGTTATTATTAGAGAACTGTCAATTGTGCATTATGTTTATCCCTTTTTAGTGTTGTTTATATGTTGTTTATCTTATGTATATATAAGATTATTATTAGAGAACTGTCATATCATGTTATCCGATTTTTAGTGTTGTTTATATAATGTTTATTTTATGTATATATACGGTTATTATTAGAGAACTATCATATCATGTTTATCTGATGTATATATATATTATATTGAACATATATACAGATTAAGAAGAACATTTTTTTTATTTTATTTTATTTTATTTTATTTTATTTTTGCATTCCAATCCCTTAATTCTAAGCTTCAAATTTGTTGTTTTTTTTTTGATTTTTCTGCTTGTTGGTTCTCTAGTCATAATGGAATTAAATGCATGACTTTTAATTGGAGAGAGAAACAGATTTATCCATAATTAAATTAAATATATGATTTTTAAGTGGAGAGAGAAACAAATCCTAATTGGAGATAGAAATCTTGGAGAGGGACAAATTCTTTGGGCAATTAATTCCGTCTTTATTGGTTGGAGATAGAAGGAAATCAAGAGGTGAGAGAATAAATCTCGTAGTTGTGAAAAGAAAACCAAAATCAAGTCCCATTTTAATTGAACTTTTTTAAAATCGTATATATGATAATATTTATTATATAGAATCTATACATGTAAATTTCCCAACAAGCTCAATAGCGAATTTGACGGGTCAAACTTCTCAATTAAGTCCAATCCACTAATTTATCCTCAATCCGCTATCTTCCAAACAGGGCCAATGTCGAGTGCAGATCAAACTTTTTTCTTCATTGTTCGAGTTCCTCGAGCCATATAAATAGTGTTTGATTCAACGTGAGAAAAAACAAAATTGTTTGACCTTGACTTGATACTTGAGATTGACTTGATGCTCGACATGGCTTTAACAACTAACTTTTAAATATAAATGTATTATTTTTAATCTGAATAGATAATTTTAGTTAGCCTTAGTATACTGATATTGATAATTAAACTATTTGAGATATTTACGTAAATAAAAAGCCGAGCGGCTCATCAAGCCTCTTGAGATGATGCTGCAGACTCGAGATTTTTGGATCTTTATTTTTGGATCTTTACCATTGGTTTCGTGCTCATTCAACATTCAAAACACTTGCAATGGGAGCACAAGTCAAATGATTTACTCACCTTTTTCAACCTCAAAAGCACCTTTATTACTCATTTGAAACTTGAGAGCCAAATTTTTCAACAATATCATACAAATGGACCGGATATAAGAATACAAACATGCACGACTGTGTGTAAGAAAATCAAACAAATTCAAAGAAAATAAGAGAAATTGCAACAAAAAAAAAAATCAATCATACAAATTGAAAGTGCATGAGTAACTTGACAGACTTGTATTTTTCTCCTTTCTCGTCGTGCAGCGGCACAGCACGAACCCCAGTCCTCAACTCGGAAACCGGAAGGCATGTTTGGCCTCCGAAATCGTCCTTGTCTGACATGTCGAATTCGTGAACTTCCACCCTTAGCAAAGCCAGCTCCGGGACGGTTAATTTGAACTCAAACTCCTCATTCCAAACAGGCGTCCAATTGTCCTCAATTGCCTTAGTTCTTCTCATAGTTGAATCACAAGGCACCCCAGCAATACCAATCTGTGATCATGTCAGACTAGCCTTACAATTAGACCGTCTCATTCAAGAATTTGCATATTAAAAAACAGTAATTATTTGGTGACGTGTTATAATTAAGACACTATTGAGTACGTACGCACCTTGACATAAAAGTCCGGTGGGGAATAAAGATCGAAATGAGTTCGATGGAAATCGATATTCCACCCTTCTCCCATGTATACTTTGATCTAAATAATGATGAACACAGTTATATACATACATATACAAATATATATAGATATATGTGCCATTAGTAAACCAAAAAAAAAAATTATTTCAATGCACAAAAATTAAATATATATATATATATTTTTTTCAAAATAAAACATACCTTGAGAGTAGTTTTCACGGGTAATTGTAGTTTAGGATCAAAGACCTCATTATTCTGGCCATTGTTTAGCAAAAGGTCTGGCTTTTTCACATAACCACAACTACCATTTGCTCTGAACATTCCTTGCATCAACCAAAGAGGCCTTCCATGTGTCTGATGATTAGATATGAATGAATAAATTATATTAATTAGTTACTAACTAAGCATAATTCTAAAATTTCAAAAGTCATACTTTTTCAACATATATATTACACAATTTTTTTCAAAATGAAATGTCATATTCGAAAAACAAATTCATAATATAATTATGCATTTTATCGAAAAGAAAATGTATAATATGGATCGTCTCGCCTAACGATAAAACTAATTACCTGCATGTTAAAAGCAACCATCTGAGCACCATGCATCCACCCAATAAAAGGATTGAAATTGGAAGAGTCAATTCTTGTAGCTTTTGGGTACACTCTCATCAAGTTCTTCTGGTTGAATCTTCGATGAATGGTAACAAACAAATAAATAAATATTTTCTCAACATTATGAGTGTTATTTTTTAACACAACTTATTTCGGCACATGAAAAGTTTGAGCTTGAACAGCTCAATTCCTTTTATTGGTCTAGATGAAATAGTCGAACTTATTTACGAATAACTCGTTTAAGGTTTTAGCCACTTTGACTCATATTTTAGACGACCTCGAATAACTTGTTCATTTATGAGATCAAACATGAGTCACTTGTGTCGCTAGCATAACACCCATAAGTAGAATTAGTAAAAGGAATATTTAACCCAATCTCATAAAGTAATTAGTGCATAATACATATATATTTTAGTAAATAATCATGTTAATTTACTTTTAATTTTAGTGAAACAATTTTTTGGGTAAATTTGTGCTGACCTGATAATTTCAGTCCCATGAGTCGAAACGGCCTTCTCGAGCTTCTCCTCGTTCAGGCTCACCCGATGGGCATATTCGGTATCAACTCGCAGCCACTCTTTAATCCCACCTTTCATTTTCTCGTTTCGTATCGCGATCAAATGCTTGTACTCGGGCGGCGCCACGACATTTTGCCTCGAGCTATTATCAATCTTAACATTCTCGTATTCCTGGTCGTTGGTATCTCGATCGTCATTGCTAAGTCTCGCGCTCAAATCCGAGATTTCCTTGCCCCACGATATCTCTTCCGACGACTCGCGCACCTGATTTTCGCTCGTCTCGAGATTTTTGGTCACTTTGGGTTGTTTTGTTGAGATGATGACACGTGTCCTAAGCGAATCCGGCGATGGGAACTCTACCAGGGATTCTGATTGTGAGCAAAATAATACGTCTTCGAATGTTTGAGAAACCTTCTGAAATTGAATTTAATTTAAAAAAATGAAAACATGTTAATGAAAAATCAATAAATAGTAATATAACATTTCTTTAATAAATTTAGTTATATCAATAATTAATATATAGCAATTGATTACATTTATGATTAATTCAGTGTATAGACTATACTATAGACCTCTGCAACTTTTGCTTGAAGCTGTGGAGGGAGATGATCTTCCAGCGTAATAATCACAGGATATTCCGATGCAACAAATGCGTTTTCTTTAATTGCTTTCAAACATTTAATCAGTTTCACTGGATTCGTCAATGTCCTGTCAAATCAAACTCCAATTAATTAGCAAACTATAGTATATATTATTTTTCAAAAGATCATATCAAATTAATTAGACAAACACATACAATGAGTTGATAACATCCAATAGGGAAATGCTACGGTCTGATTATATAACCATTTCGTCGGGATTGTAACCGTTATATGTAACCGTCTGAGATAGTTGATCTAACGGCTACTAACGGCTACAAACTCCGACTAAATTGTGTCGTAGCGAGACGGTAGCATCTTCCCATCCAATAATATATGAGTTGTATATACATACATACATACCCTCCATGCAATATATTGATGTCATCCTTGGAAGAATTTGGCCACATATCTAATTCAATAACTCGAACACCTCTTTTTAGGGCTGCTACAATTGGGACCTCACTTGAGTCGCTGCTGATTTGATTTCCAGTGAGATATGAATTGTGGCCCGTGTAGATAAAATAATGGGACAATGGGCCCGTCATGTCATGGTGCACCTACACCCAATAATAAACAGCCCATACGCACACACATAATTAATCAATAAAATAATCACAAAAGAAGACAAAAAAAAAAAAAAGGAAAATATTATAAAATTGTGAAAATTTACAATGCAAACTTGTCGTTTTGTTCCTGTAATTATTGAAGAGTGGGAGGGATTAATCATGATGTGGAGTGATTAGTGGGATTCCTTTTTTTTTTTTTTCTAACTAATACCATCACTTTTGCTATAGAACCGACTCGATTTATGGAGTCATCCACACTTATTCTCTGATAGTGTATTGACACGTGTCCTACAATAAATACAATTTGGACAGATATCAATATAAGTGATGGATGACTCTGTAAGAAAACCATCCGACGACTTCATTCAGAATCTTTGCTAATACCATTAGATCAAAAGCATTATTATCCCTAGCGGTGGAGGCATAAATTAATCAAAATACATATAAAACCAACAGTTTTGCTGTGAACACCTCAAAATTTGACTGTAATTTGTGTAATAAGCTATGTGCGAAAAAAAAATAAAAATAAAAAATAAATAATTGAAAAAGTAAATAAATAGACATATATAGAGTAGTGTTACCTTAGATGGATGAGGAAGAGGAGAATTAATCTCACTCAGGAGGTACCGGAAGAAGTGTGCAACGGTGAAGCTGCTCGTGTTGCTGCGGTGGAAAATGTTGAAGTGTTTGTGTTCGTTGAGAAAGGAGTTCATCAAAGCCTCGGCTTCCTCCCCGGTGAGCTTATCATCTCCCTGAACCTCGGTCACGAACTTGTGAAAATGGCCGCCGTTCATTATTCCGTTTTCCGAGTAATTTTCGAACAAAGCCTTGATATCGGCCGGAGCCTCCTCGTCTTTCAGCCGGAATTTTCGTTTCACGCATAAACATATGCTGTATGTTTGCTTCGACATCTCTCTCCCAGTCTCTCTCTCTCTCTCTCTCTCTCTCTCTCTCTCCCAATCTCTCCCGGTCTCTCTCTGGTTTAGTTATCTGATTCTGACTGAATATAGAGGAAAATAGTAATGGGAGTTTTTGTGACTTTATGGGAAAATATTTCTATATTAAAAAAAAATTGTGTTACAAATCCATGTATGTTATCCGTTTTGATATTGTGTTCCCACCCTATGTTTTGACTTGATTAATAAAATGCCCAATAATGCACTCTTTTTGTTTGTTTTATATAGAAATGTTCCCCTATTCATGGTATGTTTAAAAAAATACATCACTAATAAGTGCATGTCACCGACACGGTAGGCATATTAATATGTGCTCACCGTGGATAAGTGAGCATTTCTCTTGTTTTATATATAGTCATGCCATGTTCGCAAATTTAGAATAATTTGATCAAAATCAATTTCATATATATTACATTAAATGTACATTTCGCAAATTATCATTTTATATAAACTAATATATATATATATATATATATATATATATATATATATATATATATATGGAAAATGCTATAAATCCGTTACGAAATTATTTTGTCGAAATTTGTAATCGTTAAATTATGACGTAACCGTCACGGATAGTTGATTTAACTATTACAAAACTCAACTAGCTCTACCAATGATTTTTTTTAAACAGAAAAATAAAAAATAAAACGTACAGTTGGTGCATTGCAATTGGCAGGTGGGTATTGTCAGAGCGGTTGCTATATTAATGCAATTTTCCAAAGTAGTACTGCGGATATTTTCACAATTGGGCTAAATTATGTGGTTATTAATTGTCACATCAAATAAAATAAATAACGGTAAATTCCTACTAAATCCCTAATCCCTTTTTTATTTGCCTTGTCAGTCCCCCAAGTTAATTAATTTCCTCTGCACTCCCTCTTACACATTTCTCTTTCCACTTCACTCCCCATATATATACTAATGTTATTATTTTTCATTTATTTTAGCTGAAACCTTTTTTAATTCCATTTTCGGTCTCTCTCTCTCTCTCTCCTATTCTCTCTTCCTCTCCGTCTTTGTCTCTCTGTTAT